TACACAGTTTCAAGTGTTGATATGATAGAGCCCAATAGGCTCAGGAACCTGTACACCAGTTGATTGACGGTTGAGAGGCGGGACCAAAGAGCCAGAGCTCAACCCCCGCAAGCACAACTAGGTGAAAACAGTTCGGAACAATTTCAACATACCAATACATAATGGACCACCATTGAAAAACGTCCCAATCCAAATGATTAAGATAATAAGCACGTTTTTCTTCACCATAGAAGGATTAAAAAACAGCGGTAGAAATGACGTTTATAAATTACCTGGGACGCATGTGCAGTATTTAGAGCTTGTCCTGCACCTGCACTAAAGTCATCCCCCTTTTTAAGAACCGTATCTATTTGACCAATAGTGTTTTCCTAACTCAAACAGTGTGGGGTTTATTATGATACACATAATTCTTATGTGTCTCAGGTGTTCACATTCTCTCAGGTAGTGGTCAAGGCGGTGTCCGTCACTCTCGCTACGGATTCTGCAACTCCGCTGCTCAACTGTTTCCGTTCTGAATCTCCATGGATATTTGTATCGAAGAGGAATTCTTGCTATTACCGATTCTCTCCCGCGGCCACCACCACTTCATCTATGATTGGGATTGCCAGCTGCGACCACATTGTACCAGCGTACAGATTGTTCACAGATTTGTTCTTTTGTCCTCCTTTCCTCGGTAACCTTGTCACGGTGATATTGCCTGATGATACCTCTAATTTGTAGTAGTCTTGGGTATGAAGTATTCAGTATGGTCTCCTTCATCAGCCAGCACATCTGCTCGTTCATTCCCACATATTCCAACATGGGAGGCGATCCACAGGAACTTGACGACTCTTCCCTGGTTGGTTAGTACTCTCACAGCTCTTGATCTCGGCGACTATCGCAAGGTTTTCTACCCGATTTTTACTCAGGCTTTGTAGCGCTGCTTGTGAATCAGTGCAGATCACTGCACCGTTAGTGTTCCGTTCAAGGAATCTTAACGCCATGCCAATGGCAGTTAGCTCTGCTTGCGTTGAAGAGGCATAGTTCTCAATACGAGCTTATCCTTCATTTCTGGGTTGAAAGGCATTATTCCTAATTACAGTGTATGCTGCACCAGCCCTGCCATTGACAGGGTTAGATGACCCGTCAGTGTAGATTTGATCTAACTAATTTCCGGCTTCTTTATAGACTTCAGATAATTGTGCATCATTTCTTAAGCTATCATGTTGGACTTTTTCGTTGCCATTTCATTGATAATCCTGCACGAGTCATCCTCCCAGGGAGGTAACCTCTCTACAGGCAGGAGCTCACGCGCTTGCTCAAGCAGGTGAAGTTCTTAGAGGTAGCAGACTGATCTGTGACGCCATTTTCCGCTTCTCCTGTTTCCCCCTGAAAGTAGCATTAAGCTCAGTTTTTTCTTGGGGATCTCTGGCTCAAGTTTATTTTTCCGAAGTGAGGAAATTGACTCCAGTTCCCTCCGCGCCGTGTTTGAGGTATTGTCACTGTGGTTCCAATCCGTCAGCCACTCTCAGCATGGTGTGTGTGCCCGAGTGGGGCAGTCAGCTTGAGTTAGGGTAAATTGAGCTCTGAGGGAAAGGTCGGTATCCATTATCCATCGCCGCGGCCGTCATACCTTCCTCCACCCAATATTATTCAGTGGGATCAGTCGGAGGAGGATTAGGATGGGAGAGGGAGGGGTCAGAACGAGGCAGTAAAGGGGGTAGGGAAAGGAGGACCTTGATGTACCTCCAAGGATCCCAGGTCCCGCGGCCCGGTCTCTGACCAATTCTCCTGGTTGACACTGTGGGCAACCAGTAGGGAGCTGGTCGGCTGAGCGGACAGCACGCTGGACTTGTGATCCTGGGTTCGATCCCAGGCGCCGGCGAGAAACAATGGGCAGAGTTTTTCACCCTATGCCCCCTGTTACCTAGCAGTAAAATAGGTACCTGGGTGTTAGTCAGCTGTCAGGGGCTGCTTCCTGGGGGTGGAGGCCTGGTCGAGGACCGGGCCGCGGGGACACTAAGCCCCGAAATTATCTCAAGATAACCTCTCAAGATTACTGGCTATCACTCCATGGGTCACATTTACCTAATGCCTTTGCAAAGTCCGTGTATACCACATCTCTCCTACATTAAGGGAGTGATTAAGGGAACACGTGAAGAAGCTGCTCAGCTAAACATCATCTCAAGCATGTGGAGTAAGACGGTACTCGCCTAGTTGTGGTTGCTTGAGGTTATCTTGAGTTGATTTCGGGGCTTAGTGTACCCGCGGCCGGTCCTCGACCTGGCCTCCACCCCCAGGAAGCAGCCCGTGACAGCTGACTAACACCCAGGTACCTATTTACTGCTAGGTAACAGGGGCATTCAGGGTGAAAGAAACTTTGCCCATTTGTTTCTGCCTCGTGCGGGAATCGAACCCGCGCCACAGAATTAAGAGTTATGCGCGCTATCCACCAGGCCCTACGAGGTGTTGAGCTTTGGCTCTTAGGTCCCGCCTCTCACCCATCAATCAACTGATATACATATTATACACGGTATTATAATAAAAGTTCAAGATGGAAGCAAGGTATGTTATCTTGAGGTTATCTTGATGATTTCGGGGCTTTAGTGTCCCCGCGGCCCGGTCCTCGACCAGGCCTCCACCCCCAGGAAGCAGCCCGTGACAGCTGACTAACACCCAGGTACCTATTTTACTGCTAGGTAACAGGGGCATAGGGTGAAAGAAACTCTGCCCATTGTTTCTCGCCGGCGCCTGGGATCGAACCCAGGATCACAAGTCCAGCGTGCTGTCCGCTCGGCCGACCGGCTCCCCTCGCCACCTGAGTCTGCCATGACTGCCGCTGAGGACAAGTAAATAAGTCTCGCCCTGTCCCCGGTGTTTACAATGGGGAACATTGTCTGGTAATCTAGGTATTGTTGTGGCAATCCTCCTGATCATCGGGTTATTGTTATGACCGCGTGTGGGGGAGAGAGAGGGGGGGGGGGAGGTATGGGGGCCTGCGGGCCGCTCCAAGCAACAGCCTGGTGGACCAAACTCTCACAAGTCAAGCCTGGCCTCGGGCCGGGCTTGGGCAGTAGAAGAACTCCCAGAACCCCATCAACCAGGTATATGTGGGCCTGCGGGCCGCTCCAAGCAACAGCCTGGTGGACCAAACTCTCACAAGTCAAGCCTGGCCTCGGGCCGGGCTTGGGGAGTAGAAGAACTCCCAGAACCCCATCAAGCAGGTATATGTGGGCCTGCGGGCCGCTCCAAGCAACAGCCTGGTGGACCAAACTCTCACAAGTCAAGCCTGGCCTCGGGCCGGGCTTGGGGAGTAGAAGAACTCCCAGAACCCCATCAAGCAGGTATATGTGGACCTGCGGGCCGCTCCAACCAACAGCCTGGTGGACCAAACTCTCACAAGTCAAGCCTGGAAGGTTCGATCCCCGGTGTAGGCGGAAACAAATGGACAGTTTCTTTCACCCCTAATGCCTCTGTTCACCTAGCAATAAATAGGTACCTGGGAGTTAGACAGCTGCTACGGGCTGCTTCCTGGGGGATGTGTAACAAAAAGGAGGCCTGGTCGAGGACCGGGCCGCGGGGACGCTAAGCCCCGAAATCATCTCAAGATAACCATATGCAATATTTTATTCATTACTCAATGGTAATCTCAATGGTAATCTCAATGGTAATCTTAATGGTAATCTCGATGGTAATCTCAATGGTAATCTCAATGGTAATCTCAATGGTAATCTCGATGGTAATCTCGATGGTAATCTCAATGGTAATCTCAATGGTAATCTTAATGGTAATCTCAATGGTAATCTCAATGGTAATCTCAATGGTAATCTCAATGGTAATCTCGATGGTAATCTCGATGGTAATCTCAATGGTAATCTCAATGGTAATCTCAATGGTAATCTCAATGGTAATCTCGATGGTAATCTCAATGGTAATCTCAATGGTAATCTCAATGGTAATCTCGATGGTAATCTCGATGGTAATCTCGATGGTAATCTCGATGGTAATCTCAATGGTAATCTCAATGGTAATCTCAATGGTAATCTCGATGGTAATCTCGATGGTAATCTCAATGGTAATCTCAATGGTAATCTCAATGGTAATCTCAATGGTAATCTCAATGGTAATCAATTACTCAATGGTAATCTAACCTCAAGATAACCCAAGATGGTCACTTGGTTAAATGTCTTGGCCAGAAGTAAGATTATACAGTGCTAATAATATTTAATGGCATTTATTTATCTTTAATTAATAAACTTTATTGAATTTCCACAAAGTTAAGATCGCCTCGCTAGGCTTGCGTTCCTCTAGGTCCTACCTTGCGATGATTTCGGGGTTCAACGTCCCCGCGGCCCGGTCCTGGCATACGAGTCCGCATTAATTTCCTAAGATTGACATATGTTAAAGATAAGAGTTCTTCCAGTATTAAGTTGGCATGAAGTTCTTGTATACTGTCACTCCTTAGTGGTCCTCCCTGCAGGTAGCAGTGGCTGATAAACTGCAGAATGGGGCAGGATCTTGATGTATTTCCCCCCAGAACATCTTCCCGGAACCCTGTAGCTGTTCTGGGGCAAGATCTTGATGTATTTCCCCCCAGAACATTTTCCGAGAACCCTGTAGCTGTTCTGGGGCAAGATCTTGATGTATTTTACCCCCAGAACATCTTCCCAGAACACTGTAGCTGTTCTGGGACAAGATCTTGATGTATTTTACCCCCAGAACATCTTCCCGGAACCCTGTAGCTGTTCTGGGGCAAGATCTTGATGTATTTTACCCCCAGAACCTGTAGCTGTTCTGGGACAAGATCTTGATGTATTTTCCCCCCAGAACATCTTCCCAGAACCCTGTAGCTGTTCTCGGTAGCTAACCTCACTATGCACGATCATTCTATCCACCTGTCCACCCTCCTGTGGGTATCTCATTTGTCTGACGATTACAGTATTAAACATTACGCTAACAGATGGTGATATATATAATTTTTGTGTTGCATTGCAACGGCTCACTGTTGTTTGTTATTGCAGGCACATCCCCAAAGCCAAGGCTACCACAGTTGCAGAGACGCCAGAGATGAGGAGACTAGCTGAGAACACCAAAATTCAATCCAATGTAAGTAAGAATATTAAAGCTTCCCCACTGTTGGTCTCGGTCCCCTCGGTTGGCGGTTCTGGTCCCCTCGGAGGGGGGCGGTTCTGGTCCCCCGTCTGGTGGCGCGTGTGGAACTGTAGCATGGAACAGCCGTCACACTCTGCAACTCTGAGGCAGCAGCAGCAGCAGCAGCAGCAGCAGCAGCAGCAGCACTCTGGGGAAACACTTGCAAGATCTAACACAGATCTGCTTGATACCTGATCGACCTCTATGTTTAGCGAGGCGCCATCTCGAGAGAGAGAGATAAGAGCGTTGCTAGACTAGTGGAGTTGAGTGAGAGAAAGGTCGAGGTAACACGCATAATAACGCCTACAAGCACAATGTAATGTAGCGAGAGGCCGGTCACAAGGTGAGGGAAGAGGCGGGGCAGGGGGGAGGTTGTTGGTTATCCTGGTGACAGGGGGTAGGGGATGGTTGGTTATCCCGGTAGTAGGGGGTGGGGAGATGGCTGGTTATCCCTGGGGTGGGGTGGGATGGGATGCCTAGGATATCCCCCGTGGTGGTATAAAATCCCTGGTACGTATGACCCCACCGTGACGGGAGATATCTCCCGTCACGCAGGGTGCAGTCGCACCTCCACAGATCTCCAGTATCAGCTCTTGATACTGGTAATGGCTCAAAAGGGCCACCACTTACGGGTTATTCATGCCCGTGCCACCTTTTCGCTGGCTTAATCTTTATCAATCGACCCCACGTTACCCTGGGGCCTGGTCCTGCCCTGACCCGGTGCTTCTGTACGTGTTCTCTCACTTTCTAAATGAGGGAGAACAGCCTTAACATGTACACATCGTGCGTGTGCAGGAGGAGTCGCAACGTGGCTGAAACATGTTAACCAGACTTCACACTAGAAGGTGAAGGGACGACGACGTTTTGGTCCGTCCTGGACCATTCTCAAGTCGATTTGAGAATGGTCCAGGACGGACCGAAACGTCGTCGTCCCGTCACCTTCTAGTGTGTGGTCTGGTCAACTCGCAACAATAGTACACATTTCTGAACTCTTTAGAATGTAACTCCCCATCTTCTAATTCCTTCCCCTCCCCTGCCCTCCCTCCCTGCCCCACGGAAAGCCTAAGAGACCTGTCGACCAAGATGGATGACGATGCTACTTCCCGGTATCAAACGTCTTTTTCACCTAGAGAAAAAAAAAGGTTTACGATCTTAAGAGGTGCTTAGCGCGGCCAGACTTAAGTATACAAATGGACGAAAGACAAATGTGTTCTTCGCCAGTGACACGTTCTAACTTGTCGTGAATGGTGGGGGGGGGGGGTCATCTAGTTATATTCACCTAATTGTGCTTGCGGGGGATGAGCTCTGCTCTTTCGGCCTGCTTCTCAACTGTCAATCAATTAATTCCCTTCCATTCCGCCAGGAAGCAGCCCGTAGCAGCTGTCTAACTCCCAGGTACCCATTTACTGCTAGGTAACAGGGGCATCAGGGTGAAAGAAACATTTTTGCCCATTTGTCTCCACCGGGAATCGAACCCGAAACCTCAGGACTACTAATCCGAAGCGCTGTCCACCCAGCTGTCAGGCGCAAGGTTAGGGGTAAATTATGGGAAAGCTTGAAAGCAAAGGGGGAAACCATGCTATTTATCCTACTTCCCCAAATCGTGTACCTAATTTGTACTCTCCTTTCTGGGCTGGACGGTAGAGCGACGGTCTCGCTTCATGCAGGTCGGCGTTCAATCCCCGACCGTCCATAAGTGGTTGGGCATCATTCCTTCCGGCTGTTCCATCATAAATCCTGACCCCTTCCAAGATGTCTAAAATGTCTAATATAGACATCTTGTACTGCAAGCATGTCGAGCCATCTTGAGTACCAGGACCGTCTTGGCATGTACTCTATGGTTGAGAGACGATGGAATGTCACTTCACATAAGGACAGACCCTAAAGGCCGTACAACACAACATAAATCACTTGGTTATATATTTTTTTAATTATTATTAAGGGAAAGCGCCAAGCTATTACGACTATATAGCACTGGGAAGGGGTCAGGATAAGGACTTGGGATGGGACGGGGGGAAAGGAATGGTGCCCAACCACTTGTGGACGGTCGGGGTGGTTATATAATAGTCAATGGTTATATAATGGGATCCTGTGTGTGTGTACGTGTGTACTCACCTAGTTCGCACCTAGTTGTGCTGGCGGGGGTTGAGCTCTGGCTCTTTGGTCCCGCCTCTCAACTGTCAATCGACTGGTGTACAGGTTCCTGAGCCTACTGGGCTCTATCATATCTACACTTGAAACTGTGTATGGAGTCAGCCTCCACCACATCACTGCTTAATGCAAGGAAGGCTTGTGTGTTAAGGCGTGTGTGTGTGTGTGTGTGTGTGTGTGTGTGTGTGTGTGTGTGTGTGTGTGTGTGTGTGTGTGTGTGTGTGTGTGTGTGTGTAAGGACAGCGAACGCACTCACAGGTCATCGCCATTCCCCTTATTCCGGTGAATCTTAAGAAATCTTACACGATCACTTGAAGTTTTCAGGTGTCCGCTGTTTACATTTTGAGGAGCTGTTGTGTTAGATTCAGCTACTCAGAACAAAAAGTTGTAAGTAGCACGGGCTATGGTGAGCCCGTAATTGAGGTGCTGAATAATCCGGATTGTTATAGCTGCATAGGCTGCGGCTTGAGGCAGGGAGGGTGGGGGAGACGTCGACCTCTGAGGGGGAGGTATTGTGCAGGGGTGGGTGGAGGTCGACCTCTAATGGGGGGTGGGGGGAGTGTCAGCATCAACTAAGGGCGCGGTAAGGGTGAAGGGCAGTGTGGGGGCGTGGCAGAAGGGGCTGAAGGCTGACTGAGCAAGGGGGTGCAGGCAGGGAATTCTCTCGTAGCCAAAAATACGCCTCCTTTTATGGTTTTGTGAGAGAGCGTGAACCCCGTCAGTGGGCGGTGGGGGGGAGGGGGGGGGTACTAGTCTAGTTGTGCTTGCGGGGGTTGACCTTCGGCTCTTTGGTCCCGCCTCTCTACTGTCAATCAACTGGTATACATGTTTCTGAGCCTACTGGGCTGTATCATATCTAATCTTGAAACTATGTATAGAGTCTGCCTCCACCATATCACTTCTTAATACATTCCATTATGTTAATTAAAAAGTTATTTCTAATATGTGTGGCTCATTTGGGTACTCGATTTCCACCTGTGTTGTTTAGTATGTGTGTGTGCTCCTTGTGTTAAATCTTATATCTACCCTATCAATTCCTCTGAGAATCTTGCATGTGGTGATCACGTCCCGCATGACTTGTGGATGCTTTGGGAGGGAGGGAGGGGGGGGGTGATGGTTTGGTTAGTTGTTGGGGAGAGAGAGGAAGGGAGGGAAATATCAGGGGAAAGCGCCAAGCCATTACGACTATATAACATTTGGAAGGAGTCAGGATTTGGGATGGGACGAGGGGAAAGGAATGGTGCCCAACCACTTGTGGACGGTCGGGGATTGAACGCAGACCTGCATGAAGAGAGATCGTCGCTCTACCGTCCAGCCCAAGTGGTTGAGCGAGGGGTGACGGTTTGGCTGGTGGATGAGGGAGGTGGGGGTGACGGTTTGGCTGGTGGATGAGGGAGGGGGGTGACGGCTTGGCTGGTGGATGAGGGAGGTGGGGGTGACGGCTTGGCTGGTGGATGCATGAAGTAAGGATGACATATCCTGTAAATAAACATATCAACAAAGACATATTCTCCCGCTCAGCGGCAAGCAGCTCCCTGTATCGATTAGCCAAAGTGCTGAATAATTTGTCAAAGATATTAATAAGAAATGTCGTTCCTCATATCTCGTACCCAGAAACGACTGTCGTCACCTTCCGGTTGGGAAGGGGGAGGGTGGGTCGTGTAGCAGTTGAACCTCTTCTTAGAATGTTCTCCAATGTTCTTCGGTGAACAGTTGTGCTGTAAAGGGGGGTCACAAGAGGTCGACGCTTGTCATGTGAAGCGCTTGACACGTTGACGGCCAAGACCTGTTAAATCCCCTCCCCCTTAGTGGTAGCAGCTTTACATTAGACTGTTTAGAGGGTGTCCCTGTCTGAGTAGAGTAGAGTAGAGTAGAGTAGAGTAGAGTAGACGGCGGGTGACTGAAAGATAATAGCGGCCACCTTCCTCTACAGCCGTCACTCTAGAGGAAGTACAATAATTCCTGACATTGGCAGTGGTTGTTAAGAGAGGCGTGCAAATCACTAGCATATTTCTGTCATTACCGTCAAGTCTGGATAACTATATATAATTAGGTAATTAGGATATCATAACTGTCATTAAGTCGCATTACCAAACTACCAATAACTGTTAATTGTAACCCCACTTTGTTATATTAGCATGCGGGTTAACACTGTCATTATTCCTGTCATTAATAAATATCCACTCGTCCTTCTCAGATAATTGTGAGAGTATCATTGAGGACCTTGAAAGACGTAGTGAAAGTTACGTGTGGCCAAGAACCGCTGTCTTGTAATTTTCACTATTTCACAAATTTGCTATAAATCTAATCTATCGTAGGCCTAAATAAACAATTCTATGTATATTTGACGCAATCTTAGTCCTAATTTAGTACATATGTACTCTATTTAACCGGCGCGCAGGACTCGTAATTCTCTGGCGCGGGTTCGATTCCCGCACGAGGCAGAAACAAATGGGCAAAGTTTCTTTCACCCTGAATGCCCCTGTTACCTAGCAGTAAATAGGTACCTGGGAGTTAGTCAGCTGTCACGGGCTGCTTCCTGGGGTTGGAGGCCTGGTCGAGGACCGGGCCGCGGGGACACTAAAGCCCCGAAATCATCTCAAGATAAGAAAAGTTTTTCTTGAACTCTCTTCAATATGAATAGTTCAACTGCAGTCGATAAGTCACAATAACGTGGCTGAAGTATGTTGACCAGACCACACACTAGAAGGTGAAGGGACGACGACGTTTCGGTCCGTCCTGGACCATTCTCAAGTCGATGAGAATCCCCGAATAGTACAAAACCTGGACATTAGAGTACATCAGTTCATATTTTGTACTCGCCATTCCCTGACGATGTACTTAAGGTACTGTCAATTGACGGGATATACTTGACTCGTATCTTGTGGCATCTTGAACTTCGTTATCTCCTCACACCATCTTACACGGTACGGTTAAATCAGTCCAGCAACCAGGAGGCCTGGTCGACGACCGGGCCGCGGGGACGCTAAGCCTCGGAAGCACCTCAAGGTAAGTCAAGGTACTTTGGGTGAAGTATCATCTGGTATAGCCTCTCGGGGCTTGCTCAAGCAGGTGGAATTCTTGGAGAACTCCAATGCTATTACTGGTTCTTCCTAATATTAGTTCTTGCTATTATTAGCACACTCTCACACCTGGCTCTTGGCGGTGTCGGTATACTGAGGCTCTCTGGCAGTCGTAATAGTTATTCCCGGTAATGGTGACGGGTCTTGCAGGCGTTGGCGGGAGGGGGAGGGGGGAGGAGGATTTTCGCGGGAAAGATGGGACAGAGGCCTCTTGCGCATTGGAAGGGATAAGGAGGGACGGAAGAGTTTTGAGGCACGGGAGACATCTCCCGTCACGCAGGGTGCAGTCGCACCTCCACAGATCTCCAGTATCAGCTCTTGATACTGGTAATGGCTCCAATAGGCCACCACTTACGGGCTATTCATGCCCGTGCCACCTTTTGGGTGGCTTAATCTTCATCATCAGTTTTGATGGCGATTGGGTGTGCGCGCGCGCCATTGAGGGAGCGGGGTTGGAGGGAAATGACAGTAGGGTGGGGAAATTGAGGATGGTGGTGGTGGCTTGCAGTGCAATAGACACAAAATAAAGTAGATGCAGAGATGTGTTTGAAGAACTAGGTCTGCACAGACGTGCACTGTGCTTAGGCACTCGGCTCTGTGGGGGGGGGGGGGGGCTATGCTTCTGGAATTCATTCATTAGAGTGCAACCACTTGGACTGGACGGTAGAGCGACGGTCTCGCATCATGCAGGTCTGTGTTCAATCCCCGAATATTGCTGCAGGGGGTATTAATATAAAATATGGAGAAAATACTTGGGATAAACTATTTCTGACCAGTTCTCATGCGTAACAATATGGAGGAAGTTACTAGGGGAAAGCTCAGTCATTACGACTATATAGCACTTAGAAGGGATAAGGATTTGGGATGGGACGGGGGGGGGGGAGGAATGGTGCCCAACTACGTAGACGGTGGGGGATTGAACGCCGACCTGCATGACGGGAGACCGTCGCTCTACCGTCCAGCCCAAGTGGTTGGGTGTAACGGTATAGAATGCCTCACTAAAGTTAATATTAACGTAGTGGCTATTGTAATAATGTTCTGCCTCGGTTACGTTTAAATAGAAAGATCGTCAATGTGAGAGACAGGGAAGTTCCTGTGATAAAATGAGGTTATCTTGAGATGATTTCGGGGCTTTTTAGTGTCCCCGCGGCCCGGTCCTCGACCAGGCCTCCACCCCCAGGAAGCAGCCCGTGACAGCTGACTAACTCCCGAGTACCTATTTACTGCTAGGTAACAGGGGCATTCAGGGTGAAAGAAACTTTGCCCATTTGTTTCTGCCTCGTGCGGGAATCGAACCCGAGCCACAGAATTAAGAGTCCTGCGCGCTATCCACCAGGCTTTCGTGGCCCCATAAAACGAGGTTATCAATTGTTAAATTCCGTTGGTAGATCTGAAGCCAATTTAAATGTGCAACTATTGCGGGAAGAACTTTACCAAGCTGAATAAGTTGACCAGACCACACACTAGGTGAAGGGACGACGACGTTTCGGTCCGTCCTGGACCATTCTCAAGTCGACCATTCTCACAATCGACTTGAGAATGGTCCAGGACGGACCGAAACGTCGTCGTCCCTTAACCTTCTAGTGTGTGTGGTCTGGTCAAAAACATACTTTAGCCACGTTATTGTGACTCATCGCCTGCTTAATGAGGGTAATATGTAGTGTGCATTATTCCTATGTTGTTACCATTGTGGGAAGTATCTACCGTGGTGATGAGTCAGGTGCTGGCACTTTCTCTCGCCTCCTACTTCCTTCCTTCCCCCCCCTCACCTTTTTTTGTGTTAAGGCCAAGGTTAGGCGACTCCACAGCTGGTTGCTGGGAGCGTGGAATGTGTGCGGGGAGTGTAGAATGTCTGGGGTGTGGTGGAATGTCACAACCTGTCCTTCTACAAAGAACGTAGCTTTTCGCTCGTATGCGTTACATAAAACCCCCCAAAAATCGTCACTAACAATTGGAAGTGGCGAAAGTGACGTACTGTCCCGTTTTCTGTTGTGGGTTCTCTGGTAGGCTAGGAGAAACTACTTTAAATAGACCGTTTTCTTGACGTTTGGGGAACCTTAGGAGGACGGGGCTGGATGTCAACACAGTAAAGCTGGGTTAAATAAGTGTTGTCTGGTATTACTTCGTACACTGTAATTATAGCTAAATACAGTAGTCATAATGTTTCGTGCGTTGTAATTTGACTATAAAAAAGGAACTATATAAAGTATACAATTATCACAAGTTCTCACTGAATGAATAGTGGCCTTTTATATAAGATTGTTGGGTGAGTCACACGATGAATAAGGCATTAGACGCCGCCTCAGGTCAGCACCTTAACGACGAGCTTTGGCGGGTGAGTCACAGGATGAATAAGGCAATGGAGGTGTCCTTTGCCTCACCTGCTTTCACAGCAGCAGCTCTATATGTGAAAGAAGTTTCTTATTGTGATGACTAATGCTGAAGCAATTAGCAGTCCTTTTTTGTGAAGCAGAGACGAGGCAAACTCATCATGTGCATGGCACAAGTTGTATAAATATAATACGTAAGCTGAGGAAGCTTGTACAAAAGTCATCTTCGGGTCTGTTAGTTTCCCGCCATTTTGCACACGCATTTTATTGCAAGCAACCCTCAATTGCCACTCGTTTTTTTGTGTTTATTATTATTTTGTAATCAATTATTTCTAGTAAAAGCTTGCTGTTTACCCCCAGGTGCAGTACCACGCGGACTTTGAGAAGAACAAGGCCAAGTTCACGCAGGTGGCCGACGACCCGGAGACCCAGAGGCTCAAGAAGAACACCCAGATTATCAGGCGAGTCTCCACCAACACTTGGGGGCACCACTCGAGCCAAAGATTTAACCAATTGTAATTTTGAGAGTGGGAGATGGAAGGTTAATAAAGAAGTGTATCAATCAAGTTACTGGCTCACCATAGCCCGTGCTACATGGAACTTTGTTCCAGGTAGCGAATCTTTAACAACAACAACAACAACAACAAAGAAGTGTAGTAATGTTGACTCGTACATATTTAAATTTGTCTTTTTATTATTATTAAGTTATGGTGGAATATTTAGTGTACAGAGTACTTTATTTTTGCTTCATAAAACATGGCAAATAGGAAAGTCTATGAAAGCATTGTGGTATAGGGATTTTACTTCACGTTGACTGGAATTGCATGGCAACATCGCCACTTGGCAATGGCTAATGGCTTAACAATTGTCAGTTTAGCAACACGAGAGCAATGTACTCGCCTAGTTGTACTCGCCTAGTTGTGCTTGCAGGGGTTGAGCTCTGGCTCTTTGGTCCCACATCTCAACTGTCAATCAACTGGTGTACAGATTCCTGATGTACAGGCCCAGGGTAGATCTGGTCGAGTAAGGGGGTCCTTTTGTGGGGGTGGTCCTTATCGACAGGCTTCATTTGGTCCCGTATCACTTTGGTCGTGGGAGTTGCTTCAATGTTAAGACTGGCACTGTAATGAATCTCTCATGCTCATCAAATTTGATTGAAATCTTAATGGTGTTAAGAGTTTGGAACTGTGCTGAAAGAACTAGTCGTGTGGCATTGTTTACGGTGGTTTTACACAATCATAAAACTTTTATTTACAGAACTAATATGTAGGGTGCTTACATTGCTCCAAGGTTGGTAGCATGGAAGCTAATATCGCATAAGAGAGAGACTGTGATTCCTCAACTAATCGATCACGTGGTTCATTTAATTGTTGACGCCGGAAGCGGCTAGTTTATTGTGCACCCCATACTCATCACTGTAAGTGGTAGTGTAAAAAGGGCACAGTCTTTATCAGACCTCAATGGAGATTATTACATAAACAATTTCATTTATCCTTCACATCTTATGACAATGTCAGCTAGTTACAGAGACTGTTCTATTTCAAGAGCTATATATTGACAGTCATTATACATTATTGATATGTCTTATCGCTAATACATAAATGAGCAATGGAGATGTTAGTCATAGGGGAGCTGCTATTTGTTATTAATCTTCATAATACACTACTTGTTTCTTAATCTCATATGTCCTTTATCTACTGAAAGTGAAATACTGTATGGATACAGTGCAAGGATTTTTAGGTATTTTATCCTTAATAATAAGATAGGTTGCCATATCATACAATGTGAGTTTAGATTTATCTTTAAATGGCTCATTTTTACTACAACTCTAAGATATAGTGTTCGAGTGTGTCCCTGTCTTTGTCCACACACTTTACACTTTACTTCACCTAGATCCCTATACAAGCCGAACTGCAAGAGATACTTGTAGCCAAGTTGTATTCGACCTGTGACAATGTCTGTTAGTCTACTGACTTTGTTACTTGCCCCATACACATGTTTTACTTCACACATTTTGTTGTGATTAACAATGGGCGTGCTAAGTTCCAGTTTGCACTGTTCTTCTTCCTTCAAACCCATCAAGGAGTTCTAGTCTAATGACACTTTTAGGGGACCTATTTGATAACTCATGTCGGAAGACCTTACCTTTAAAGAACACAATAAAGTAGCCGTCACAACTGCAAGAAAAATGACAGGTTGGATAACGAGAACTTTTCACACTAGAGATGCTATACCGATGATAATACTTTTCAAAATGCTAGGGATCTCTAGAGTGGAGTACTGCTGCACAATGACAGCCCCCCTTCAAAACTGGAGAAATTGCTGACTTGGAGAGCTTGCAGAGATCCTTTACTGCTAGAATCCAATCGGTAAAGCATCTAAACTATTGGGACTGACTAAAGAGCCTAAATCTGTATTCCCTTTAGCGCAGGCAGAAGAGATGCATAATAATTTACACGTGGAAAATAATAGAGGGGCTGGTCCCAAACCTGCACACAGAAATAACACCACATGAGACCAGAAGGCATGGCAGGATATGCAGAATACACCTGTTGGAAAGCAGAAGTGCAACAGGTACTCAAAGAGAGAACTCGGCATAAGAGGCCCGAGACTGTTCAACAAGCTTCCACTACATATAAGGGGCATAACTGGCTGACCCCATCAGTGTTTGAGAGAATTCGATAAGCACTTCCAAAGGATACCTAATCAACCAGGCTGGTTGACTAGACCACACCCTAGAAGATGAAGGGATGATGACGTTTCAGTCCGTCCTGGACCATTCTCAAGTCTATTGCAAGAATGGTCCAGGGCGGACCGAAACGTCGTCGTCCCTTCACCTTCTAGTGTGTGGTCTGGTCAACATACTTCAGCCATGTTATTGACTCATCGTCTGCAACCAGGCTGGGATTCATAAGTTAGGCTGCGAGCAGCCATGTCAACAGCCTGGTTGACCAGTCCAGCAACCAGGAGGCCTGGTCAACGACCGGCCGCAGGGACGCTAAGCCCCGAAAGCACCTCCAAGGTACCACAAGGTAAGGAGGATGCTCAGTTACTAACTCTTGTATTCCTTTGAATTGTGCTTCCATCAGGCTGATGAACAATAACAGCACTTCCTGCTCTCCCTGCAGCTGTATTGAGTGATCGGACTGTGTGATGTTTTCAGTATGTATATTGTGAATGTGTTCTATGGTGCTTAATTTAGCAGCAAGCTGGGGATGAGGGTTAAGATTTTCTTGGTGGGGTATGTAGCCATCAGGATGTCAAAAGGTACTATCTGCCAGGGTGGAAGGATGTGCTGCACTCTTTCATTTGTACTGTGTATACATTGTGCAGTCCCATCACTTTAATATGAGTGGCTGTTCTTTGAATCGATTTAAGACTCGCTGGTTCCATTGCATGTGTGTTCTAACAGTTCAACTGACACAATGATGCTTTTGTTATGCAGAAGCTTTAATCCCATCATAAGATAGTATTCAAGACAGTATCTGAAATCAAAGTATTTAATTCTTTCCTCATATTGAGAACTTTAGTAGTTATAGGACAGCCAAGTATAATTCCGAGTGCTTCATTTTGCATTTTTTCCTAGTCTATCAATACAGTACTTAATGCCATTTTGCAGGAGTAAAGCTGGTGCATGATAGTCTATCAGAGACCTTATATATGCTAAGTACATAATTTTTGCTCTTCTAATATTAACTCTGTATTTAGGGCTGAACCCCACTAAAGTTCTGAGAGCCTTGGGTCTATCTCTACATTGATGTAACTTATTGACTGCAATTAAGGTACAAGGGATAGACACAAAGGTACAGTATTTGAGAGCAGAGACAATAGTCAATTGGTACGTTATCTTTAAGTTTCCGTGGTTCACTTTTGTAATTACCAATTTGTTAAATATCTTTTGGAGGTGTTTATCAAGTTCACCATTGAAAATCTTGAGGTTAGCTAATTATGTGCCTTTATGTTTAGAGGGGTGTCAGTCATGGGCCCTTAGTAGCCCTTGATAGAATTTTCTCTCGTCATACCTCTTGCACCTCTGGCATTTCTACCATGTTTCTTGACCTCTTACGGTGTTATTTCTGTTTCCTGTGTCCAGATTTAGAACCAATCCCTTTTTTACTAATGTTTAGTATCATGGCACCTAACAAATGTCTTGGTACATTAAAATACACTGAAACAGACTAGTTACTATAAAAGAAATGCTGGGTAGGCTACTGAAGCTGGAGAACAGTCTGCTCTGTCCTTCTGCCAATACTTGGTGCTGAGAGAGAAGTTGAGGTGCCATAAGCACAATTGGAGAACATTGTATTAACATCAGAGGTCCACAGTTGTTCAATATCCTCCCAGCAAGTATAAGAAATATTGCTGAAACAAAAGTGGAAGTCATCATGAAAACTCTGGACAGTTTTCTGCAAGAAGTGCCGGACCAACCAGATTGTAGTGAATATGTGGGCTTTCTTGCTTACTAGGTCCAGCATGTGGCTCTTCATGGTAACTGAATAGTAAACCTTTATTCTTAAAGCCGTCGGCCTCATTACTAAGCAGTAGATTTTCCCCACTAATCTGCATGCCCATCACATGTTCAGTGTCGTGTAGTGTAGTTATGATAATTCCCAACGTTTTCTCATTTGCAATTATAACCTGCTACTGCATCTTTCCTAAGAAGAAGTTGGTGATTGAACTGCATAGCAATCTGAATTTCCCCTTTCACTGTACACGTAAAGATTAGTGCATAAACAGCATGGCTAGAGCTTCAGAAAGTTGTAGATTGCCAAAGTAGGCATTTCACTGCAAGGTACAAATGACACACTATCTCTGGTACACTAGCACCAATTTTGTACTTTTAACCAAGCCTGGTAACATTTCTAATGAACAAATGTTCCTAATTAAATGGCAAGCAAAGAGCTTTTGCTCTTCCTGCTTCCCACCCCCCCCCCCAGCACGGCAGGTTCCCATAGTCTCGCCTGTCTTGTAAACAAACTAGGGTGTGACTCTTGTTCCTGTTGTAAGACAATGACTAGGATTTGAAGTAGACAATGTCGAGGACATGCCAAATCTCTAAACTGATATAAACAAGGTTTTCAGTTTGCCGCAGAGAACATGTTCAATGAAGAATGTTTATTTACAAGAAGATACAATGGGTTTGTGAGATTACATAATATTGGTATTTTTTTACATTCTTGCAAAGCCACTAATACGGTCTTAGACACTAATATTGTGCAAGTGGGTAGCATAAGATAATATATATACAGCACTTAATTTTATTTAAAACACAAGGTAGGAAACTGAGGATGAAATTAGGTATTTTTTGGTTTTACTTTAGAATAAGGTATTGGTTGGATATGTTTCATTGGAACATGTTGGTATAGGTTAGACATAAGGGCTGAAATGCTTCAGCTCCGTACTATGGTAAAAAACAAAAATATGAAATGGAAACGTGTACCTTGCAGTCAAATCGACTTACAGGAAGAAAAAGCCATGGCTGCCTTGGAAGACGAGCCAAAGACTGATGTAATATACAGAAATTTCACAAGTTTTGGCAAATGGGACCATGGTGTTATTGTACACAATGAATTATTAGCAAAGTAGGAAGATGGAATTTAACATTCCTAAAGAACAGAATCCAAGGAGTAAAAGTCAACAAAGTAAAATCCCAACCATTCACCATGAAAAGCTCTCTCCCTCAGGGTACTGTGCTTGCTCCAGTACTTTTGACATTATCATGTCAGATATAGACGAGGGCATTCAATAAATGTGACCATGGAGTGATAGCACACAAAATGAGGTCAATGGGAATAACTGGTTAAGTAGGACGAATACCAGTGAAGAGTAGGGGTGCCATAGGCACAGGGAACACTGTATAAACATCAGAGGTTCATGGTTCAACATCCTCCCAGCAAGTATAAGAAATGTTGCCGGAACATCCGTTGACATCTTTAAGAGAAAACTAGATCATTTTCTTCAAGAAGTGCTGGACCAACCGGGCTGTGGTGGATATGTTGGCCTGCAGGCCGCTCCAAGCAACAACCTGGTGGACCAAGCTCTCAAGTTAAGCCTGGCCTCGGGCCGGGCTTGGGGAGTAGAACAATGCCCAGAATCCCATCAAGCAGGCACAAATTATAGTACTGTACCATATTATCCTTTGCAGGTGATACATTTTTTGACAGTAGACAATATAGTGTAACTAATTTATAGAAATCATACATCTATATATTGACCAAACTATACACTAGAAAGTGAAGGGACGACGACGTTTCGGTCCATCCTGGACCATTCTCAAGTAGATTGATCTCATCAATTGACTCGAATGGTCCAGGACGGACCAAAACGTCGTCGTTCCTTCACTTTCTCGTATGGGGTTTGGTCAACATATTTCAGCCACGTTGTTGTCTCTCCTCATCTGCATACATCTATATATGAATGTCATGCTTCACCTATGTATTTCAGCATCCCATAACTAGATCATGTGCTATTCTCCACTTGAGGACACTTTATTGGCAAGGGAACTAACCAGATTAGGACGAGTTAAAACATTACCTTATCCTGCGGCTACCTTGTGTTGGTTCAGAGGATCAATTTCTCCCATGGCCCAGTCTGACTGCTAGATGTGGCTACTCGCAGCTCGACTTGTGAAAAACAATCTTGTTGATAAGGTGCCCTTTGGAGGTGTTTATTAGATTCTCTTTTGAACACTTGAGAGGTTGCCCAGTTATCCCCATTATTTGTAGAGGAAGTGCGTTGAAAAAACTTTGACCTCGTGTTGATAGTCTTCTCAGCGTACCTAATGCACCTCTGCTTTTCAACGGGACTATTTTGCACTTCTTTCCATGCCTCCTGGTCTCATGTGATGTTATTTCCCTGTGCAGATCTGAAACTAGTCCCTCTAATATTTTCAAAGTGTAAATTATGTACTTGTTCAATGTTTTATAGTCTCATTTATTTAAAAGTACAGTACATAATAATTTACACTTCGAAAATATTAGAGACTGGATCCAAACATGCTCATGGAAATTTTCAAAGATTGTAGTACCATATTGCAGGACTATTGCAGATTATGCAAAATAGAACCTTTGAAAAGTTGAGGTGCAATGTGTATGCCAAGAAGCAGTTTAATGAACACGAATAAAACCCAAGATTTTGTAAACACCCTCCCTCTATATACAAGGGCTATAACGCGACTTTTTCCTCTTCGGGGTAAAAAGGAAACTCGAGAAACCTCTGCGAAGGCTATTTAATCAACTGGGTTGTAATTTGTACATCAGTTGGAACAACGCAAAGTAATCTCAAAGTATGTTTCTGAACAGGAGCATTAGTTTATTATTCTGTAGTTTATTTCCTTGGCCACTCCCTAGTTGTAGGAGCTGCTGAGGGGCTTAACAAAGTGGCATTTCATTACACTTGTAGCTAAAAATTTTAATCTTTTGCCCGTATTGAATTGATTTAAATTGCAACATTGACATTTTTTTTATCTCGGCAGCAATGTGATATATCATGGAGAACTAGCTAAGAAGACGGAAATGGAACGTAAACGAACAGAGCCTAATGAGGATGATGAAGGTAATGTCTCAAAGTGATATTTCTTATTGTTCCAGGTTACAGTATCTCCATTTAGTTAGTACAGTGTTGTACTTGGCAAATACTGTAAATATAATGCATAAATGATTAACATTTTACAATTTCTGCCGTATAGATGCTTAGTAACAGGATCATGTATATTTACAGTCTTTGGGCATTTAATGTTTTATATTTATTTGTACTCTGTTATTTTTTTTTTTCCATAGGTGGTTTGATAGTCGAATACCAGTAATTAAAATTATAGATTTAACACCTATCGTACATTACATGTCTCAGTGTGAAAGACTTGGAGTTGGTGTCTCGAGATTTAACAGTAAATTTAGTGTCTTACAAATAATTATTAAATTTTGAAATGTAAGAACCATTTGTTATATTATTGCAATAGTGACTTGTTTAAATTTTGGCAGGTTTCCCATTTTTAAGTACTGAAAGGTGTAAGTTAATTGGTTAATTGTATTACTATTTTCTTGGGCTAAATTATGAAGAAGTCTTTACGACAGGCCAAACATGGGGACAGAAACTGCCTTGCATTGAACTTGGTTATGCAGAATGTTGCTGCTTCCGAAAGTTGTAGCCCCCCTACACTTGTTGTGGTTCTACACTGGGACCACACTGTAAGCATCTCTTTCTTGCACCCTTGAAAATTCTTAAATATATAAATATATATATACATATAATTTTCCCTTTACTGAACTCTATTAGGTATCCCAATTACAGTGGATTCCCCCTTTTTACATGCTTCTGGTTTTTTGTCGAGTCTTGATAATTCCTTTCACATTAAGTTGACTCGTAAGCATTGAGGGCTTCGATTAAAATTGGGGAGCAAAGTTATCTTGTAGCCAGTATGGGAAAACATTGTATATATATTTTGTTTAGGTTTTTGTTTCATCTCTGCATGATGCAACACATACAAGGTTACAAAAATTTCCTAGATACGTACAATATTCCATTAGTAACAATGTGCTGGATAATCTGTGGGAAAAGTGCATCCTAAATTAGCTTTGTACTAGATTTTGGATATATTAAGAATGATTTAAAAGAAGACCTTTTGTTTCTTTTAATAGATACATTTTCAACTTTGTAGCTCCTAGTGGCAATTTAAAAAAATAATTACAGTATATTTATACAGAAATTTAAAGTGGTCCCTCTTAACAATGCATTCCTTTGAAGGCAGCCATGTTTCAGTGTGTGAGGGGCTTTTGTGCTTTAATGATGCCTTCAGCTACCCATACCAGGGGGCACAAGGCTGAGAAGTCTGACAAAATGCTGCCATTGTACATCAGTCTTGAGAGGTTGGATTCAGGAACATCCTCTCAACTTAGTTTTCTGTTCATAATGCACAATATTCTGTATTCCATGTATGTTCATCTGTAGGTAGTCTGCCCTGGAGTTGGAACTTCTTGATGAGCAACATGAAGTCGAGGTGCATATCATGCACCTTGACCACTTCATCATATTATAGATTCATTTCATGAATCTGATATGAAGATAGGGATGTAAAGGAGGATTTATTGTAGTCTTAAGTAATTGGCTCATCAATTGACTAGGGGGTCAAAAATTTAGATGGCATATTTTGCTCATACTGAAATACTTGTACGGTAGTTCTCCAAAGACACTCTACCTAAATAACACTTGAATTAAGCTCATGAAGTCTTGCAGTTCTTTCCCAAGATTTAAATATTTCTACCAGAAATGTGGTCATGGTAGCCAAAATTGCCATACAATTGAAGACGCTTGACTGTAGTGTGTTGTTGTGATTCGCATGAAGCAAAAGGCCAAGTTGTGTTGCATTGCATAAGTTGTGGCAAGAGTTATTTATCCTTGAAAAATGCAGCATCTTGCACTATTGTTAAGATTCTAAAGATATTGATTAATAAATCGCACTGCAAAATCTGGAAGGTAGTTTTGCTATGACTAGTTCTGGTATGGATTTTCTATGCATCCGTGCTTTTTCCAAGGATCAAAAAGTTTCAGCAACCATTTCCATGTAGAAAATGTAACACAGACGAGATGTCTAGGAGCCTTTCGCAAGAATCCTGCACCCTGGATCTCTAAACGAGATGCTATACCAATGGTACTTTAGAGAGCACTTGCATCTTGAAGAGTGGAATACTGTTGCACAATGATAGTTCTTTTTAAAGCTGGAGAAATTGCTGACGTGGAAAGTATGCAGAGATCCTTTACTACTAGAATCCACACGGTAAAATGTCTAAACTATTGGGACTCTATTGGGACTGATTAAAATGCCTAAACCTGTATTCTCTAGAGTGCAGGTGGGAGAGATGCATAATAATCATCATGTGGAAAATAGTAGAGGGGCTGGTCCTAAACCTGCACATAGAAATAACACATGACCAGAAGGCATAGCAGGATGTGCAGAATACCCCCTATTGAAAAGTACAGGTGCTCAGATAAGAGAACTATCAACATGAGGCTCTGAGACTGTTCAACACACTTCCAGTGCATACATATAAGAGGCATAACTGGCCAACCTCTCAGTGTTTGAGAGAACTCGATGAACTCCTCCAAAGGATACCTGATAATGCAGGCTGTGAGCAGCTCCATCCAACAGCCTGATTGACCAGTCCAGCAACCAGGAGGCCTGGTCAGGCAAACAAACGCAAGGTAACTGCAAGGTTCCAGAAGTTCCCTGCATATGGAAGAGCACTATCACTTAAAATTGGGTCTTTGAGCATATGGTGCCTTACTTACCTTGTGGCTACCTTGTGATGGTTTCGGGGCTTAGAGTCCCTGTGGCCTGGTCATCGGCCAGGCCTCCTCGTTGCTGGACTGGTCAAGCAGGCTGTTGGACACAGCTGCTAACAGCCGTGAGCAAAGCCAAGCATAATCACCATGTAGATAGCACATTTTCGTACCATTGTGTTAACTTGCTGTTTAAATGGGTTGCCACGGATATAATTTTCCTCCAAACTAGGAAGAGTTCAAATTGTTGACATACTTTACAGACTGCACACATGCTTTAGAAAAAAAATCTCATCCTTGCAAATCTTTAGCATGTGTCCACACTGATACCTACTTTGAAGACAGTTTCTGCTGTCATTGTGAGCCAGTCCATGGGAGGAATATCACAGCATTATTTTCCCAAGTGGCTTCTATTTCAATATTTTTGTTTGAAGTTTACACTATGCTTACACCTGCTACCAATATAGAAAGGACATTAAAGATAATGGTCTGTTTACCATGTCTCCCTCTTAGGAGCCATAAATAGTACGCCCCAGATTCTCTTCATGACCGACGGGAAATTTGTACAATATCCAAATAATCACTTTCTGATATTACATGTTCTTCTATACTGTACTACAGTCTGAAATCTAATGCCCGGATGAGTTTTCCGGAGCTCAGTTTTCCCGTACATGATTATCTATAACTATTGGCATCTCTAATGCAGTAGTTGAGCTTTGGACCTTGTACTACCAGCTTGCCAGCAGTTAATACCAAAGTCAGCACATAACAATATTCAACACTAGCATTCCCTAGTGAGGTGTAGCATTGGTGCTACTGTATGTAAATAGAATAAATTAGCAACAGAGTATGCACATCCCATTGAAATCTTTCCATTCTTGGGTGACATTCCATTACATGTAGTATAAACAAGCAGCATCTTGTCATTTGTTACAGTTGAAGGAGAAATGCGTGGCACGAGACTTGGCAAGGGATACAGTGCCGAGACTATTAATCTACGAAAAGAGTTGCCAATTAATTGTGTTGCAGAAGCAACCCATTTGAATGGTTCATACATTAGACAAAAATGTGGGAGTGGATAAATATCTTATTTGCCTGAATTTTACTCGAGGGCCACTAATACTAGTGGCCTCGATGAGGACGTGAGGAAGACAGAATTTTCTCTACCTTCTCGAAGAGGAGAAAAAATAAACAAAAATATTTTTTCTTATTCAATTAATACATTTGTGCAGTATTCTAAATGTAAGAAAAACTGAAACAAAATATAAATGCAGTACATATGTACATTTTTATTGGAAGAGCTGTGAAAGGTTGCATAGTGGCAGTGTGTTAGCCACTGCACTGCATATAGTGCCTTAACTTCCATGCTTCCACGGCTTTTATTGCAATATTTTGGTCGTACAGCGAAATTCAAGTGCTTTCCCCAATTTTTTCTTTGTATATTGTTAAAATCCCTTCCCTGAACATGTACATGTAAAAAGAAATTTAAACTACTTACTTTGGCTGTGGCGGCGAGGAAAAGGTGCAGCGTGACGTCACTAGCATGTGATCGCCCGTGCGAGAAGTCTCCCAGAGGCAGTCAAGATGATTAAAGACTCGCGAGTTGCCACAAATAAATATTTATTGTTTAGATGCATTTTCAATGCTTTCTAATTACTTTTACTTTTTTATTGTATCTGATGCACATTTGTGTTCTTTACAATATGTACATAGTAGAATGTTCATAATGTTCCAAGGAACTGTGATACTGTACACGTCACTTGTCCATAAAAAAAGTCACAATATTACTTGTTCAATATTAAATTTATTTACACTATATACACTCTCACACTATTTACACATACACTGTATTACTCTCATGGAATAGGAGAACATAGACCCCTACACAACCTATAAATTATGTGAGGAATCTTTAAAGAATTCTGATAGAGATCTAGGGGTGGTTCTAGATAGTTTCTATCACCTGAGGATCACATAGTATTGTTTGAGGGGCCTATGCTAAACTTTCTAACATCAGAATTGCTTTTAAATACATGGATGGTGAAATATTAAAAAAACTGTTCATGACTTTAGTTAGACCTAAGCTGGAATATGCAGCAGTTGTGTGGTGCCCATATCTAAAGAAGCACATCAACAAACTGGAAAACTTTTTACTACTATCCCCCTCTACTACACCTTACTTTGCTCCTCAGCTCTCTTGCCTATTTATTGCCGGTCTCTACTTCATCACAGTTGACTTGAGAATGGTCCAGGACGGACCGAAACGTCGTCGTCCCTTC